GAATGCTGGGTTTGGTCAACTGAATTAGGAAAACACAAGGTTTATTATGGCTATCCTAATAAATCTAAGGTTAAATGCTTGAATGGCAAGAATGCTGAAATTTACCTAGGATCGATGGCCAATCGATTAAACCCGAACCCCTGAACCAGAATTCTGTAAGACTGATTTTCTCTTATTTGTTTAGTTTGTTATTGCTTTCTTATTCTTTTAAATTTTAGTTATTTTCCCACTCAATTACTTTATCCATTCGGCTAAGAGATTACTGTTAGCTCCCTGTGGGATTCGACCTAGTACCACTTTTCCTACAAATATTTTATTGTGGGACTAGTATTAATTTTGAGGGCTTCAACAACCCGTTAGTCGCTCCCCAGAAACGTTCTGGTCGGCACCTCGTCCGGCATGGCTAGAGGAAGCCATGGATGCTGAAGTCTTACTAAAAGTTGCAGAGTTTGGAGGAAGGATTTTTGAAGTGATTCCCACAGGCGGCACCAAATGATGCAGCGAGATCCGGGCACTCCTAACTGGCGGACGCCTAGCTCCTAACTGGCGACGGACGGTACCTGATAAGAGAAAGGTGAAGGATTCCCGAGGAGCTCGCCCGGTGGGAATACTCCGATGCTTAAGTTAGAACTCTGAGAGCTATAGGAAATGCAAAGAGAGCTGAGAGTGCAGATAGCACTAGATCAGTTCAATTATCCCTACCCCTTGGAAATCGGGGTCCATAAATACTGGTTGTTCTATCAAATCAGGCATAGCCGCCACTGGCCCTCTATCGCAGCCGTTATTCGCCAGTGCTGCAGTTTGACGGGTACGGTCTTGTCAGATAAGAAGCTTCCTGAGGATGCCGCATCGCTTAATAACGAGCTACATTGTAGCGAGCTGCTGGGGCGTCCCGAGGTGATTCCACCTGAGGCCTTCGAGGCGGCCTTACCAAAGGGTTGGAGCGAGCTAATTGTCCAAGCTCACGAGCTGAAAGAGCTTGGAGTGTTCCTCGTCTAGCACACTAGTGAGCTTGAGCTCGCTTTGTAGCGAGCTGTTCCGCAGCGAGTTGTTTATGTAGCGAGCTGACCCGCGAGGGTTTCAGCGAGCTCATTACACCGGGTTGTAACCAGACTGTCATGCTGAGCTGTTGCTTATGCTGAGTCATGTCCACATGTCGCCTGCTTAGGAGGTCAGGTCAATTCACCCTCCATCAGAGAGCATCACCTACGATCCCGAGATTGAAAGAACTCTTTGTCGCCGCCTTAGAGTTTCTAATCAAATGAGAGCTGAAAGTGAGGAGATGGCCGAACCAAGGACCATGATGGATTATGCCAAACCAACCCTCACCGGGGCTGCCTCGAGCATTGTGAGACCAGCAATTGCTGCCAACAACTTCGAGATCAAACCAGCAATAATTCAGATGATTTAACAGTTTAGTTATGCGGCTTGGCTCATGAAGATCCGAACTCTCACATCGCCAACTTCTTGGAAATATGTGACACATTCAAGCACAATGGGGTTAGTGATGATGCGGTGAGGCTCCGATTGTTTCCGTTTTCATTGAAGGACAAGACTAAGACTTGGCTGAATTCTTTACTAGCTGGATCGATTGCTACTTGGGATGAAATGGCTAGCCGTTTCCTATCCAAGTATTTCCCTCCGTCCAAGACAGCAAAGATGAGGAATGATATCACCACCTTCTATCAGTAGGACGGGGAATCATTGTATGAATCATGGGAGCGTTACAAAGAATTACTAAGGAAGATCCCTCATCATGGACTTCCCGTATGGCTGCAAGTTCAAACATTTTATAATGGGTTGACCGAAGCAAATAAGACTATCATGGACGCTGTAGCTGGGGGATCCATCAATAACAAGACTGATAGCTATAATTATATAACCCTAGCAAGTGTACTAGTTATCAAGTAGTATAAAGATATCGTTCCCATGAGGATTTTACAATGTAAGTATTAGAACTATAGCTTCCCTCAATTTTTTGGACAATCAAATTTTGGATCTAACAATAGGAACTACTAAAAATTAAAGATAGAAAAAGAAAAGAGATAAAAACAAAGGCAATCAATGACTGGACWTGCAACGATTTAACTGAAAGTGCCAGGACTATTAGTCCACCTAACCTTTCCAATGAACATCAATTTATTAAATTAACCAAGATAATTTACTATTTTAATAAGCTGAAGTTTTTCCTAATTTATTTAATATTCCCTTCCAGGATATATCAAACCTACTTCTATCAAGTAACCCTTCGATTCCTCGATTAGAGTTCTCGAGATAGAAAGTGCATTAAGTTCTATGAAAAACCTGTATCATCAGATGAATCATGTATATATATTCCTATATATCATTCCTATTATATGAATTCCCCTTCTGGTTCATTCACATAAACCAAATCAACTAAGAGGTGGCCGAGCTCCTAATTGCATTATGCATAATAACTCATAGACAATATGAAAATAAAAATAGCTTGGTTGAATTAAATAAAAATCAATCCATGGTTGTGGTTAGGCTTTCCATAGCCCCAGCTATAAATAAACTAGTTCATGATAAAGAAGATTAAACCAACAAGGTATAAGAAAGAACTCATGATGTCRCCCTTGAAGTTGAGATCGATGAGCTTGTCTTCTCCTTGCCACCGCCTTCTTCTCCTCCTAGGTTGCTGACTGCTTCCTTGAAAGCT